AAAAAAAAAAAAAAAAAACGGGGAGAAGAAGGAAGAAGAGGAGAAAAAAAAAAAGAAAAACTAAAAAGGAAAGAACGAGAAAAAGGCTAATTATCTTCTATTAAATTATTGAAACCTCAATTAATATACAACTATATTTTTTCTTTTTTTTTAGGAGTGATTAGCGTATTGGTTATTTTGATATGCATTGTTCTTTTATTAATCGCAATAAAAACTGAAAATGCATATCTGTTAATACCGCATCTTTTTGCACAGGTCAGTTGAAAAAACAACGAAAAAAAAAAAAGCTTACTTCTTTTGTTTGTGCTTATTTTCTTTCTTTAATCTATTTTAGTAACGATAATTTTCCTTTTTTTTTTGTATTTGTTTTTGGAAGTGGAAGGGAGTAAAAAAAAAAACGTTGATATGTTAGATGGTGGTTTTGCAAGCCAAAAAAAAAAAATGACGTTGTTTCATTGTTCACTGGAAAATAACTCCAAAAAATTTTCTGACTGTTTTTAGCCCGTCTAATAATTAAAGAAAAGAAAAGATTTGTTGGGAAAATGTTGTTGTCAACTAAATAATATACTGTTTTTTAAACTTTATTTTTATTTGTTAATGTAATTCTTTCCTAACAACCTATGTTTACGCTGTTACACTCAATGCTGTTTTTTTGTTTTTCAGGTATTCCTAATCCTCTTCTCCCTTATTGTCGTTTTAATCGTCTTCTTGCTCATTGTATTCCGTTCATGGAATGGTATCCGAAATTTACTTGGATATGGCGACTATAAAGTGAACAATGAATGTCAGTTGATTAATTACTAATTTGCTAAATTTAGAAGACATTGAAACTCGAGCTTTAGTTATTTCAGTTGTCTTCCTTAGTGTTAAGTTAAATTTTGGATGAGTTATTCAAAAAGTAAGGAGGTATTGGGCCTAACCTTGTGGGTACCTTTTTTTTTTTTTTGGTGTTTTTATTCACTTTGAATGATTTTTCTATATCGCCTGGATTTCTCCTTGTAAAAACTATACTTTTGTTGTTGTTGTTGTTGTTGTTGTTGTTAAAAAAGATAGGACGGTTTTTCTTGTGCTTTTAGCGACGGAAATGACTGGGTATGCGCTGATCCTCCTGCATTTGTTGGTAGCAGCATTGGAAGCAGTTTTTCTTTACATCGTGTTTCGACTTTATAGGTTAGTTTAATTAGGGAAACAGCAGAAAAAAAAAAAAAAAACAGAACTAAAATTTTTGCTTTGTTGAGTTTTTTTTTTTTTTCTTTTTCGCCTATTTTATTGTCTAAAGAGTTGCTTTTAATTAAAGGGCAAAAAAAAAATATTTTTTTGATGATGATGATGATGATTATTTTAAAACAGCACATTTTTACGCATTTTAAACGAGATAAATGAAGCACCATAAATCTATTTGCTGTGTTCCGAGGAAAACAATTTTATTTGTTTTACTA